CGCCCGGTCAACTAGGCTTTCCTACCGCCCGGTCAACTAGGCTTTCCTACCGCCCGGTCAACTAGGCTTTCAACACTCCTTCCCCTTCTCTTGGACATTAGTAGAGGCTTACGCCTTGTTTCTTGTTTAGAAAAGGGTTCCCGGTACTCTCTCTCTCTCACTGGCCTCTGTATCTCCAGTTGCCTTGATCTATCCACTACCCTTCTCCTCATCCTTTCTTCTATCACTCCTATCTGATCTTGCTCCAAATTTTCTGTAACCCCTTGCGTCTTAGTGGCTTCCCGCCTTGCTTGGGATGAAACGCTTAAAAAAAAAAAAATAAATTTCCTGCTTTCAATTCATTTTATACTTTCGTTTCTATACTACGACTACCAGATTTGTCAAATGGGAATACGGGAAAGCCTGTTCAAATACTTTCTAATTTGTATAGACATGCATAAATGGAGAATATATATAATATATATATATAGTCTTAAGGTGTGATATATTTATGGAATAAATATAAGCACAAGAAAACAATCAACAAACCACACGAACAAATTAAACCCGCGTGTAACTGCAGAATAAAGAACGAATGTTCCTTAAACGGTAATTGCTTACAAAACAACGTAATATACCAAGCCACGATAAAATCACCAGATAATGAAGAAAAAGTATACATAGGAGTAATTAAAGGACCCTGGAAACAAAGAAATTATGCACACAAAACATCTTTACGCGAACAGCATAATGCTTTCTAAGTATATCTGGGAAATTAAAAACAAAACGCACGTCACACCAAAAATATCTTGGAAAATAAGGAAAAGATCGTCAGCCTACAATAACCAATCCAAAACTTGCAAATTTGCTTGGAGGAAAAAATAGCTATCATTACCTTCCCAGGCCAAAATAAATTAATAAATAAACGATCCGAGCTCATTTTAAAATGCAGACATGAAAACAAATTTTTACTACGTTACTTAAAAATCGAAAACTGAGAAAAAATAAATAAATGAACAAAATAACAATAAAATAAGTAAAATAAATTAACCCAAACAAATTACCAAATCACACCCGTTTGAAAAGACGAAATAGAATAAAAAATAAAAAAACAAAATCAATGAACCCAAATAAATAAAGTAAATAATAAACAAATTAACAAACCAATATGGCCAAAATATTAGACTGTAAAATTCAAACCAAAATCGGACGAAAAACATAGCTGTAACTGTTATATAACGATAAAAAAAAAACGTTACTTAAAAATCGAAAAACCGAAAAGAGTAAATAAAAATATGCAGTAAATAAAAATATACAGTATAATAAATAAATTATAATAAAACAGTAAAATAAATTAGTCTAAATTAATCCAAATAAATAAATAAATTGTAATCGAACTCCCGAGAAGATGCTTCCCCTACTACAATTTTAACATTTTCCAGTCTCTAGTCAACCGTTATCTATCCTATATATGCACCTTTGCTCTCTACTTGTACACTTTTACAACAACCTTATTTAGTAACCCTGTTCCTCGAGTGGCTGTTAGGTCTTATATTGGGTGAACAATAGCGTAAAAATATTTCTTTTTCTATAAATAACATTAGATAAATTCAACCTTTGTGACCAAGAAGATTTCGTAAACATTTTATATTCTGAGCTCGCATTTTCCCATAAATAAAAATAAAAATATTTAAAGTTTATGATCAATTTTTTTCAAATGCTATGTCCATTCAGGAAGCAAGCGATCATGGTTGTTCATACTCGTTTGTTTTATTTTGTGTCTGTGAATTGTTATGACTTAGGAAAGATAGTGGATTTGTTTATATTGGCTTCTCCTGTTTTGATTTCATAATAGTCCTTCTCCGAGACTGGCTGCCAACTCAAATCTATCCTGCTATTTAACTCCTAGCTGGAGGTGGGTAGATCGGTTCATGACTTTCCCAAGAGCATTAGTGCAAAAGTGAATGGGACAGACAAAGCCTGAGTTTGAACCGATTTCACTTCCCGTGTCGTTATACTAATCATACAGCCCTTTAAGATTTAGAATTTTTAAAAATTTACAAATTTTAAAAACGAAAATAATTAAAATAGTACTCCTTTTTGTTTTGTTTTTTCTTAATGACCGAAATGCAACATAATAGCAATTATCTAATATTTGTGAAAAGAAAACACTGATATATTTATTCTACAGCGGTTTTTCCAAACTCTGTCCATACATTATTTCCAATTTATAAAATTGTGATCTAAATATGAGGCTCACTAAAACAATCTAAGGAAGATAATTTGTTTGCAAAAAACACTTCGGACGCTAAAATAGAAGATACCAGATCTGGAGAGCCTTTTCGAGACTCAATTAAATCGTATTTTAATTATTAAAAGATTTTTTATAAACACTGGTAATGGTAATATTAGCAGTTTCCTTATGTGGAAGCATTCGGCATTCATTGACCAATCACCCGGTTCTACTCTCAGTTGAAATTCATAAATTTCTTTGTTATTAAAGCAATTTTTCGGGAAAATAGGTTTCCAAAGTCCGCTGTCATTGCTCTTTCCAGTATTGATGGAGGCTTCCTTCCTAACCTTTTTATTCAAAGTAGTGTGGAACGTCAACATCTTGATTATGTAATTATTTTCTTTTCGAGTTTCATGTGATATCCGTTTTATTTTAATTGTTGCTGCCGTTGAAAGTCAAGTCACGTGGTTTCTGTTATTTGGTCCTAGAGAGGTTTCATTCGCTCGAAGCCATTTTTACTCACTGAAGTATAAATTGAGACCAAATAGCTTTAGGTTGGGAGATACTGTTCTTCAGAAGGAAAAAAAATCTAATGTCGGGTGAAATTATAGAATTTGAGTGACTGTTGGTTAAAATGGAAGGCATACTTTTTTAATTATCAGTTTAAGGAGTAGCCATTTTTTAAATTGTTTCTGAAAACTCTGAAACGTAATCTTGTTCGTAACTATTTCCTCTTTTATACCAGTCATACCTGCTAGCAGATAAAACAAATCGTTTATTTGAGTACTTCTTGGTTGATAACATCAGCAAATACAAATTAATCTTTCAGTTCGAATGGATAGGTAAATTGGGAATTAGACGAGGAGACATAACGTCCGTGGTTCAAATAAGTATTGGAAAAAAATGTCATTCTTGTAAGCATTACGGACATTGATCAATTATGATTTACATTGATCAGATAACTTTTGCTCTTGAGTTAATTCTCGTCAAGAAAAAATTGCATCATTATGTTTTTGTTCTATTCGTAAAATGGAAACTAGGAAAGCTTAATTTTGTTCACACAAGCACTCATTTGGAACCCATTGCCCAGGATAGCATTGAGTATTCTCTAACTTTTGCAAGATTGGCCCCAGTGGGAAAAAAGACATTTAAATCGTATTTAAATGTTAACAATAGTTTTAATATTTTAATTTTCCTTTCTGTTGTTACAATACAACTGATATTTTCTAATAACCTTTTCATTTAAGTGTGTAAGTAACGAATCTGATTGACATTGCTGAGCCTACTGTTGGTCCAAATTAATAACGTGCATTGACGAAGGAACTGGGCAATTTTGTCTCCTGTTCAGCGCATACATGGGTCTCTCATTTTAAACTGCTCTGTGCTTTATTTCGTTCGAGTGGACTTGTGGAGCCGTAAGTATACATCTTCGTATGATTAATTCTTTTTTTTTTCTTTTTATCCTTCTTATTCTAAAGTTTGGTTGTTTATTTAATTTACTAAATAAATTCACTGTGTCTGATAATAAGTTTTTGACAGCATTCGGTATAGAAAAAATTACTCAGGACTTTTAAAATTGTGCGTTGACCATTTAAAACCAGGGCGTAGGGAGACGTTTTCAAACTGCAACTAGTTTAGAGAACCACGAGGAGTGCTGAAAAGTCTTCTGCTCAACCCACTTTCCGAAATTTGATCAAACATCAGATATTTTTTTTTTTTTCTCGTCTTGGTCAAAGTTAGATTCTCGCTATCAACAAGTGGATGCTGGCGTGGAGTTAACCCCAATTACTTTACTAACTAAAAACCGCCACTAGGGGACGCTTTCTGAACATGTAATATTTTATCTCATTCTCTTTTTTTATTTAGACACGCTAGGATGTAGGTCTATTGCGAAAATGCGTTTCCCATTGGGGAATGTACACACACACACACACACACACACACACACACACACACACACACACATGTACGTACGCAACTTCATTTTACTTCATTTTCTCTAGAACTTCTACACACATTTTACATACACGAACAATACACGAGTCTTAATGTTTTCATGCATTTTCATTTTATCACATATATACAATATCATTGTCGCTCGCAACAATGTAACTTTTTGTCTTTTTAATAATACATTATCATTTTTATATATATATATATATATATATATATATATATATATATATATATATATATATATGTTTTATTTGTTTCTTTGTATTTTATTACCCGGACACACATGCAAGTCTGCCATTTTTGTTGTCGAATAAACTTTACAGGAGACACGTGTTTCTCAGCTCAAACACCAACGCAACACTGGTTTTATTTATTTTTTTAATGTTCAAGGCCTCTATCAAAAGACGCAAATTGACATTGATATTTAGTTTATAATTCATAATGAATCCTTCTCATGAAGAAAGAATGTTGTGCCTATTATCCTTTCATAGAAAGCTATGAAAAAATCACTTTATTTGAAGCTATTACTTAAGACTTGTCATTTAAAAAGAAAAAGAAAAAAAAATCGGTCCCTCTGCTTATGATGAGTAACTAGGCCAGTCCAAGATGTGATTACGTCACAGTTGTATTAGATTCGCCTTCAACGCAGTTCATCTCGTAGACTTGTATCTTTGCTCGTAAGAGAAATTTAGATAGGTTACTTCATTATATAAATTATAAAGTTTATAATTTTATATGCGCTGGTGTAAACACCTGAGGTGACACCCTGACCATCTTTTACTGTAATTGAACTACATCTTCTTTTCTCCATATATACATATAACATCTTTCCATGGAGAACACAAACAGTACGTTTTCAAACTTTGTTCATTTTCACTGGGGAGACAGTCTGACCCTTGGGCTCTACTTTCTTGTTGTGGTTTGCGTTGGAATATGGGTATGTTTTTATTTTACTTTTTCTGCTCTTGATATGAAATATGTGCTTAGCCCAGTACACTCGCAGTCGAAGTCCCACGTTAAGTTACTACAGATTTTAAAACTATTGAATTGTCAATAATTCCGAACTTATCACGCGAAAAGGTAGAAATGTCTTGTATGTATAAATGTGAGATTTTAGCAACTTCTTGTATAATTTTTTTTGTTTAACTTCTCTAAAAGTTATGTAATTTGACAAGTTCGGAAAGGTGTAAAATAGCAATTTGGACGTTCATCTTATAAATAATTATAGATTGACTTGCGAAAATATTTTTCTTTAAATTTATTGTTTTAGTCTAGAAAGATGTTTTTTTTATCTGTTTATCATATGTCCTTCTCCAATTATCAGTCCGAAATATTGTATTTTTTTCGATATATAACTATTTTTTCCCTTAACGTGGGATGTGGGTGGGATAAATTATTCTTAGTTTAACCGTGCTTGGGACCGCAATAATAGAGCACCCAATAAAAAATGAACTTATTGCACTTGCTACAATAAGAGCCCAAATTCTCTTGCGTATTTGCTACCAAAGATAATAAGTGTGACGTGAATTACAATTTTTTTTTTGTTAATATATAAAAAATATTTTTGTTTCTAAATAATGCAGCAAACAAAAGAACTATTATTTGCTTAGTTGAAAACTAATAAAAACTTTTATTACAATTTTTTTATCGAATCATTTTTTCACTTTAAAATAAGGTGAATCGAAATAGGCTGAGACGAGACTTTTGTATTCGCAGTTCATATCCTGGAAGCTCATCTTACATGTAGTACGCTTTAACCATTTCGGTTACGGAGGAGAATAGTCCAAGCAAGTCTGTAGTGATGTTGCTATTTCTCCTATTTTTTATTCTTTTTTTTTTATCAATTCATCTCAAACAAGGCGATAACGCCACTAAGGTATAAGGGGATACTGGAAGTGAAAGAGAATGAAAAAACTTTAGAGGGAACTGGAAACCCAATCCTAAACCGGAAACAACGGATGAAACTCTACTCATATTCAAAAGTCATTGTTTGTTCACTATCTAGCAGAACCTGTTTTAAATTATTTGAATTCTTAAATATTTTATTAATTTCCGACACGCTATGAATATTATTGGTTAATTTTCCTATAAATGTCTAACATTAAAAGTGCGTCTGACATACCTGGAATTTTATTTTTTTCTTCCGGATAAAGGGATTAGATTGACATTTTACACTATTAATCTGTAATATCCTCCTTTAAAATACTTTACGAAAATACGAAATACCAGCGATCGCGTATTACAATCTACTGATATACCTTACATATAGGAATATATAACAGGTGCAAATGCAACGGATTGGGATAAAAAAAATTTTTAATCTCTAAATAGAGAAGCTTTATAAATACCCAATGGAAAATATCCCAAGTAATCCTAATTTAACCATAAATATTCTTATATATATGATAATATTTTCTTTTTAAAAATATGACTTCATCGCGACAGAAAATTTCCATGTTTTAAAAATGAAACTAAATCTATAAATTTAATTATAAAAATTAAACTTAAAATCCATAGTCTCGTTCCATTGTCAAGCGATGATAGGAATAAACTTTCGAAGAAATTTACTTAATTTATAAGCGCAGACATCACATTTGAAACATGGAAATTTTCTGTGTCGCGATGGAATCATATTTTTTTTTTAAATTATAATATTTTGCTCTACTGTTTTTATCGAGCACTGTTTTTTTTTTCAAATAAAAATGACTGTTAAGGACACCTGATTATAAATCTTACTGTTCTTCCTTATAATTTTAATATATATATATATATATATATATATATATACACGCACACACACACACACACACATATATATATATAATATAAAACTTGCTTCTTAAATAGTTATAAATGAATTTAAATGCTCGCTTATCTGTCTCTATTCAGTCTTTTAATGATAGTATTCATTCGTTATTGGACTTGATAGTATTATTTATTATCAAATCCCCTGACGAGTGGGTATCATCTCCACGAAACTTAAAGTAGAGACAGATAAGTGGACATTTAATATTGTATGCTAATATCTCTTTATTTCACACTCTAATTACAATAACTGCTTGCCTTAAAAGCGTAATCTCCTAGATTGTGTTAAATTTCTACTTATTTTTTTTTCTTAACTTTACTCTTTAGTCAATTCTGATGCTCAAAGTCTACGACTGTATGAAAGTGGAAAGATGTCTATATTTACAGAATAGCCCCTAAACTTCCAAAACAACAAAAAAAATCCCTTGATCACCAATTGTGTCCTCTATAATTTGGACCCAATCCGGGACCCACACCAGTATTGTTGCGGTTACTACTTCTGGCTCAAATAAAATCAGTGACAACCGAAATGTTTACATGCAAATGACGGGTGATCATCATTTGTAGAGAAAAGGAAGAATTTCCAACGCGGAGATATTTTCATATAATAAATGATTAATAAAAGAGAAAATGCATAGACAGCTGAAAAGTAAAAACATAGCTGTTAGGAAATGTCCCTGAATGCGTGCATGAGAGAGAGATGCACCACGTGATCGGGTAACTAAGCACCCCTTCCCTAGAAGGGTAGACTGGACAAGACTTTTACCTACTGCATTCTAAAATGAAAAGAGGGGGATTATGCCTGGGCTTTTCTAACTCTAATGGCGTCACTTAGCGGTCGTCTTGCCAGACTAAATGTGGGTAATCAACGACAGTATAATTAAAATGTACACTATTTTACATGTCTAGTTGTATTATATATAAGCATTTTTGCATTGTTGCAATCAAGTTGTATCCTATCAATAAATTTATTATCCTGAGATTTTTGTGTTAGTCAAAATCAAATCTTTGCCATCCTTTTTCAGTCGAAACAGGATCGTTCCTTAAATTTTCACCGAGCTGCAAAATATTCCAACCTGTATAAAAAAATAAAATAAAAAAATTATAAAATATAATTTCGGTGGTAATTTTTTAAAAAACTCTATTTAAAGTGCTTGTTTTATATTATGATTTTTATATTTCCGTAGGGTGCTTCGGTAAATAGCAGTATTGAAATAACCAACTAAAACACGAAAACCTTGAATGGGGTTTGCTATCTGCTGATATGTTATCATTCACCATATATGAATGTATTATGAGTGTGTGGGGGAGATGGTTCCAGGAAGTATAGACTCTACTTGTTCGGGCAAATCGATACAAGGTAGAGATAAAAAAAAAAATTAAATATCTAAATTAAGACAAAAAACAAATAATCTTATTCTTAAGTAAAACACACTTTATTTTGTTTTTCACCTCCTAAATGTTTGTCGAGCCCGAATTTAGTTTACATATTTATTTACTAAACCAAATGGAAAGTTTTAACGTAAAAGTTTGGTTCTTCATCAGGAAATGGATATTTTTTTCTGGATAGAGTACCTCGAACAATAAGCAGTAACTGATCAGCAGTAAGTAACTAATCGTACAGAACTTAAATTTACAAACTTGAAAAAAATTACTAAAATATTTATTTATATTTAATTACATTATTAATTTAGGTTCTATATGCAGTTTTATAAGTTGTAGATGTAAAATAATTGCATGGAATTATTCTTTAGTTGGGATTAACACGTTGAACAAAAATGAATCAATCAACAATTTTGCATAATTTGACTATGACAGAAATAACATAAAGTCTGTTAGGTAAGCTTGATATATTTGGGAAGGATATTAGAATAATCCAGAATTTATACTGGATGCAAACTGCCTGCATACGGATAGAAAATGAATTCAGTAAATATACACAAATAGAAAGGGCGTGTAAGACAAGGATGTGTCTTCTCCCCGGACTTATTCAACTTTTACAATGAGGTGATACTGAAAGAATTAGAATTCTTACAAAGATTCATTATTAGTGGCCACAGTCTTAACATTAGATATGCAGATGACAGTGTTGACAGCAGACACAGAAAGGGAAATACAGTAACTCCTATAGAGGGTAGTAATTGAAAGCGAGAGGTAAGGACTAAACATTAATTGTAAGACAGAATATATGTTGGTCATCAAAAAGAGACCAACATACGAATTACAAATTGGAGATGCCGAAAAACAAGTACAAAAATTCAAATATCTGGAAAGTGTTTTCAGAGGACGAGAAATGCGTCACTGAAATCCGAGGGATAGCAAAAGAAGCCTGCCAAAAGCTAGGTAAAGTATTAAAAAAAGGAAAATCTCGTTAGAAACAAAAAAGTATACTTAAATGCTATGTAATATCGATCCTTCCATATAGCAATCTCCTCACATATGAAGACTTGAAGTAACAAATATGATTCTACAGAAAGATGCTGAAAATACCATGGACTGAACATGTGAGCAATGACGAAGTTTCAGGAAATGGAAACACAAAGACCATTTATACTTAACATCAGAAGCAGTTCATTTCAAAGGCACAAGACGGGGAAAGAGGGCTTGGAAAACTCGATACTGACAGGATATATTGAAGGCAAGAGGGAGAGAGAAAAGCAGCGCATAACCTATCTAACGAAGTGTAAATGGTTAGAAGAACAGTGATTAGGAGACATAGTGAAAAGGCAATTAACTAAGAGCTACAAAAGACAGGATATTGTGGAGAGCCATGATCGCTCACGTCTCGAAGGACACGTCACATAGAACAATCATAGAACTAAGGAAACGTTTTACTGTCATAACCATATACGAATTAAGTTTTGATTTCTTATCCATTGTAGATGTGTACTTCAGCTCGTATTTAATAAACTTTTACCTCACCTTCGATATAAGTTTTTTCACAACGGCTATCTTGCTAAATGTCTAATACTCATTCTCAATTAGTTTTCCTGGGGCACACCGGTATAGTAAAAATAGAAATCTCTCTCTCTCTCTCTAGAGAGAAAGAGAGAGAGAGAGCAAAGTTTTAATGTGTTTGGCTTATATTCTTGTGATCTCATGACCAAACCGATCATAGAGGAGACATGAGTGACCATGATACAGCCAGCCGCCGCCAACTAGATCTGTTTTCCGTCTCACGAAACAGCGTCGGAGTGTCTATCTTGGTCCATCCTTTGATGTTGTCCATCCCGCTTTTAGACTGACTCCCACTATGTCTATCTGCTTCCAAGGTACCTGGGTAGAGTCTTGGGTAGAGTATTGTGGCGTATGACATGTCCAAGCCACAACAGTGACTTGGACATGTCTCCTCTTTACTATTGCCAAGAGGAGCTCCTGGGAGCCTGCCGGTTGTTTTACTTGGCTCTGTACACAAACATTAGTTCTGCGTTCTCTACAGGAGACCCCCAAAGGGCCAATGAAGCATTATATATTTATGAATAATTTGCTCGTTACTCTTACCAAAACAATCCAGTTACTCCTTGGATATAATTTTGTATTAAAAAAAAGTGTGGTAGCAAGATTGACAAAAAATGTCTCGGTACTTTGACGTGACGTAGGTGTTAGTACGCTAATCTGTCAGCATTAAAACACCGGTTTCCGTACGATCACAGTAGTTAAGCGACGTCGGGCCTGGTCAGTACCTAGATGGGTGACCGCTTGAAAATACTAGGTGCTGTAAGCTTGGATGCGCAGGTGATGTAATGAATTAATGGCTAGAAATTATTAATCTGAGAGCCGAGTTCAAATTCCCGTTGGGTTCGTTATATTTATTTACGCTTATTCTTGAGAAAGAATTATTCGCCTCTTATCACAACATCTATGTGTTAATTAGTAAAACTTGTATAATTAAACCATTATTATCCACCCACTACAAAAAATACAATCTAAAAATATTTTCTGGCTTTAAATAACCTGTAAGGGGTTGATATCCCATAGAAAACGAATATATCAAAAAATCAACAATCTGCTATTCCATGAACTAGTGTAGTGTGTTCGATCTTACTATATGCCACAAACCTGTATTGTGCGTAGTTTAGAATGAGGATTTGCATACTGTTCTGACGGATTTGGAGTGAGTTCGATTCTCATATGGTGGTGGTGGGGGGGAACCATTGTGACGTGATAAGTTTAGAAAATATCGACAAATATAAACATGGCATGAGGCCTGCTGTTAGTTCAGATCCGTCACCAAATGATTTATCCCCCACCCACCAAGAAATCATCCCCATCCCTGTAAAAATGATGTAAACTAATTTTAGTGTGCAAATTCTTATTCAGACCATTCTAACTTAAAGGAAGCTGAAAACATTCAGTTGATAGGCCTGTATTAGTTGTCCAAAATGAATGACATTGATGGTATATTAAGGTATAGCACATATTAGCACATATTATTTGTTATAAAAAAACATAGTGCAAATTAGTTTTATAGTAATTCATTGGCCAGTAGTAAATATGTTAAAATTGGCTGTCTAGCATAGGGCCGTAGATTGTTTTTCATAAATGTTTTAAAGGAATAAAATCTAAATTGAAAATCAACTTTTGAATTTCTGGCTCTCATCTCGTTTTGAACTTAGCTATCAAAGTTCAGTTTAACGCGTTTTAGCATTTTTGTCTATCAGATTTTCCGATACGAAAAATTTTCTATACAATTATTCTACTTGTTTTGTCTGTCGGGCCGTCACATTTTTCTAGCAATGAATAATAGTAATTTGTTTCTGCTTATTGTTCAATAATTTCTCCACATCAGATGAAATATTTGTCAATGACAGGAGCAAAACATCATCCAGGTGACTATCACACAACCTTGTTGTTAAATGACTTTTAGTATATTTCATTTTCGAAAAAAAGTTGTTCACAATCATATGTACTTCCAAATAATGATACCATCGTTTTTGCATTATTCAATAGGCTTTTATATTTTCTGGTTGGCAAAACTGTTCTTGTAGAAGTCAGCAGTGGATCCGGAATGAAATTTTGTTTTCAAAATATCGTCGCTTTGTAAGTTGATTAACTCCAGCTGATATTTTTCTACTAATCGCCCCACATTTGTTTCATAAGGAGTAAAAAATTGAATTTACATATTGCCAGAAGTCGGCGAAACATGAGGAAAACTTGCTTCTCATATTCTGACAAGAGATCACAAAGATAGTTGGTATTATATCTCTCTTGTGATTTTGGAGATTTGAAAAATGAGAGTAGTTTTCTTTCTGAAGTTGTGATTCCCACAGTCGAAGTTTTCTTTGACCAAACATTTCAGATTTTGATTTGTTCTTTCTTTGAAGCTCAAGATTCAAATTGTTCATGTGGGTCATGATGTCCACTAAAAATGCTAAGTTGACAATCCACTCTGAATCTTGAAAGTAAGAATTATCTTGGTCTTTGCTCTCCAAAAACATAACAATCTCTTCTCTCAATGCATATACTCCTAGCATCTTTCTGCAGGTAAGCTATCGAACGTTTGAAAATATACGTAAGGTCGACATACTCTGCTTCAATTTCTTATGAAAATTCTTGAAGCTGGCGATGATTTAGTCCTCTTGACAGTATAAAATTCTGTTTTCACAACTACTGTCATGATGTCCTTAAAATTCAATTAATTGTACATAATGTATCCTGATGGATAACGCAATGACATTTGATTAGTTTGTGATCAATACCAATGTGTTCTTGGAGCAACGTTGCAAACCGCTTTTTTCTCTCTGATCATCGATGGTGCTCCACCTGTGGTTACTCCAATAAGCTTTGATAAATCAAGATTTGTTTCGGTTATCCATTTTATCACGCTTTCAAAAATATCTGCTCCAGTGTTAGAGTCCTTCATAGGAATTAATTGATCATTGATCAAATTCTTCTACAATATCAAATGTTGTTGTTAGCACCCCCACCACATCACAAACATTACAAGTTGACAAGTATCCGTCATATATGTAGTTTTATCGACAGCAATGGAATAATACTCTAGATTTTTAAAAATGCCCTCCAAATCACTTCTGATATCTGCTGTTTGTTTTTCAATTCGCCTTGTACTGTTCTTGTCAATAAGTTGATCACAAAACAATTCTCTTTTTTTCTGGACAAACATCCACTACCTTAAAAATGCATTCTTTGGAGAATTCTCCATCACTAAAAGGTTTCAACTTTTCTGCAATTAGTTTTGACACCTCGTAGCTAGCACGAGTATTTCTGTTATTCAACCTTTCTATTGAAAAAAGGATGACTGGTTTGTTAAATCCAGTAAAATTGTTATAATGATTATGACTATTTTCATAGTGTCGTTTAATATTTAAAACTTTCTTCACTGAAATGGTTTCTTGACAAATTAAGCAAGCACATTTTCCGAAGTGTTCAATGAAAAAAATAGCTAAGTGTTCAACCTTCGATAAAATTTCGGCACTCAAAATCTATTTTTCTTTTTTTAGTTTCCATGAGCTTGTTTTTGTTCAAGCAAAAAAGTCTTCTGGAAAGAAAAGAAAAAAAGAGTACGGTTATTGAGTTACAGTTGGCAGGAATGTCAAAAATTCTTCATGGGCCGGGCTTGCTGACCTTTGATGGAGAAAATAAGATAATAGGTTTAATGTCTGAATATAAAAAGACAATACGACAGAAAAGTAGGTGAAAATAGAAAGGTATTAAAAACAATTAAAATTAATTTTGGAAAAGATAAAAAAAAGAAATAGGCAATGCAATAATGCAATGCTTGGCCAGGTAAGATAGTGAAGAGAGTATCTAACTGATTACTTCTGTGACATACCAGTGTCAAGATATCTGGTGATGAGATAGTAAAAGCATAAGTTTTTCTCAGGACTAAGTAAACGGACATATGAGTGAAGTGAACATAAATAATTGCTACCTTGTGTTTTTGTACGTGTAACATTATATATAACAAATTGCAGCTGGTCTTGTAAGCTGTTGTTCATCACTCAAGCTAAGGACTTCCCACTTCTGCATTTTCTTCATTTTGCTAAGTTATAGCATATCTTCCGACTATTGTATGAATTTCCCACTCAGCTTTGCTCCCAACACCAGTGTTTGTTTCTGGATCAGCCTCCATGACGGTCCTCAATAATTGACTGTCTGAGACCAATATCACCAGAAGCAAGGCACAGTCCGTTCTGGAACTGACTTCAGTACCCATGCATTATTAATGTTTAGAGTAGATTCCAAAGTTCAGTTTCCGAGTTCGAACACATGATACGCAAACCACGTTAATTTACTTTGTTTTTAATTTTTCTATGTTCGTTCAGGTTGTAAGCAATAATGGCGTAATATGTCGATTATAGATATTTAAGATATTTTTGTATTTATGGGGATGCTGAAGTTTTCGACTCGAATAAGAAGCTCTTACAAAAAAATTGTTTGGTCAGACTTTTTCATCACCCTCGTATTATGTTGACTCAGTTGGAAAAGTTATTTTGTAGTTTACGTTTGAAATTGTTTTTTTAGCATTATATACAGGACCGACGCCAGAAAATAACCCCACTTCTGTTAAAATGATATAAATTAATTTTAGTTTACAAATTCTTATTCCATACCTGCCGATTTAAAGCCCCTCCCTCAAAATTCACTGTCATCGTGCTTGATTGCCTAGCTAATGTTAGCTGGAACTCTTAAGTGGCTGTGTATTTATTTTTAATCTATTCGGGGATTTTTGTTGTACTGGCTCTGGCATCTTTTGATCTTGTGAAGTGCACATATTCAGTTTAATGTAATATTCTAGATCTCTTGACAAAATAGGAATAACTTTTGACAAAGTTTTGAATACATGAAAAACCATCAATTTCATGAACTATAAAGTAATTCTCTTTAAAATTATAATTTAAAGCTGGGTTTATTACAAGACAAACATTTCAACGTAGGTAGAATCTACTGGGCGAATTCTATGATGATTACCCTCATCATGTCTGCCAAGATGACCCCTAGGTAGCGCTAGAAGAAGGGCCTAACTCTACATTTTTTTTCGGATTTTGTCCCCGTTTGGGATTTTTTTTCCTTAAGCAGCCGTCGACTAAAATTTAATTTAACTTCGTGTACCCTCACACTACGTCTAAGCACGTAAATGATTTCTCTCCTTTTCAGAATTGTCTATCAATGAACTACGTTATTAGTTATATAAATATATTTTAAAAAAGATTAATGGATTTATTCTTAATCCGTTAATTCTTTAGAGATTGCTTTGTTTATGTTTCGGATACGAAACTGAGCATATAAAGAGTTTCGATAAAAAAAAAAAAATAATCCGACTAAAGGGGATGTGCTATCCTTAAATATGGTAAAATATGCCTTGCTTGTGAAGTTCTTCGTAGCCGAGCGGTAAAGCATGCCGAATCAAACGGGGACTCAATTTCGATCCTACCGGTGGCCAAATCTTCTTTGGATTTCTCGAATGCGCAGGCTAATAGAAGTAATACAGTCTGTTTAATAATAAATAAAAATAGGGCATCTATTTCAAATAAATGTCCATTATAATAACGTTTGGTTGGAGTAATATATAAAATTCCTTAACGTGTCGAATTTCTTTTGAAAATGTTCGATTCATTTCTTTTGGAAGTCATCCTGTCATAAGCCTTAACTCTTTCCTCTAAAAGTAGTCCAACCGACGTGATTTAAATCTTCAACCAGTCAGTTAGGGAATAAAAAATAAAAATAGAATACCGCTCACAGTTTCATGTGTTTGAGATTAAAAATGAATTGTTTATTAAAAGCTGCCTTAATCTGGACAAACTGTTATTGAACAAGTCTACAGTTTTTTTTCTGTGCGAGGAAGTCAACCGATAATTTTACTATATGAAAATTACCCCCCCCCAAGTTTTCAATGCGATGCGGATAACGATCGTGGAACTCGTGAGAAATACGTATAGCGGTTGCTATGTTTTTCACGCCCAGACACACTCCAAGTCATTTTATTCACCTGCGATTGGCTAATAAATTACTACTACCTTTGTATAGGGCAATTTAGCCATCGCATTCGTTCCATTAAATCTTTTGGTTCTGAGCATACTTACCTATTCTGTTTAGTACGTGTGTAGTGATTGGTTAATTTTTAACCAATCACATATTTTTAATATAAGATCAAGTTTTCCCGCGGTTCCGTGGGAGCCTACCTCTTTTCCTTAAATAGGGCGACTTTTCGCAAGTCGCCAGTAAGATCCAGTAAGATCCCAGATGTCAACACAAATCCACGATCTTGCTCATCACACTCTAACGCACACACAGACACAGAATTTCGTAACTACAAACTTATATTTCCTCTCTGTAACTTTCGCCAAGCACAATCAACCAGAACTTTGTTGATTCAAACCAGTTTATTCACAACACATTTCAAATAATTGTATTCGTGGTGTTATTTATTCTTCACTTGCAAACTTTGCTCTAACAATTATTTCGGAACATTTATCTCACAAGAGAACTTTCTTCAAACGGTTGATTACAATCAATCTACAGTCAAGGGGAAACAACTTCCTTCCCTTTAGTCTACATTGTGAATACGATTTTATTTCATGTCTGTTGTTGTATTTTATTCAATATATATTTGTTGGTTAACAAATTAAAGTTGTTGTTATTATTTTTTGAATCCTGTACGTGGAAAAATCATTAGTAGTCGTATCTATATATTTAGTGTTCCTGCTACATTTAGTGGATCGACCCGACGCTATATTTGGTACGTACGCTACATACGCAACAATCGGAACTATCAAGCACGTTAACCTATTTCGATTATTATTATTATTTGGAAAGCGTACTACAGAGGTTCTAAAAGGTTGTGTGAAGTAGTCTACTTCAGATGAATGATCGTTGCTCAAAGACTTCATTCTGTAGAGAACAAGGCGCAGGCCATACTGGAAGAACCAGGCCTTTCAATCTTGGACTAGAGAACTATCACTGGTATTATAATATTTTATACAGTTTTAAAGGCGCACTTTTATTTTATTGTGTGTGTGTGTGTGGGGGGGTAATTCTGCATTTACTTTTCATTATTTTCCACGAAAATTCCCGATTATTACATTATATAATTTATGTCCATTTCTTTTCAGGCCATAGTAAGAAGTCGGAAGAACAGTGCTCAGGATTATTTTTTGGCGAGTCGGAGTATGACATTTTTTCCGGTAAGTTCCAAGAACATTTTTATCTTGTTTATCAAAGTTTGTTTGGTTTAAGTAACCGTGGGTTATCCCACTTGACTTTGATTTAAAAGAAAAATCTCTAGGGAGCCTATAAACAAAAGCCCATAAAACGCCTGCATTTTTCTCTCTAGTCTCTTTTCCTCTTTTCCAATTCTGTCTATAAGATGTAGTCACACGTGGTGACAAAAAATAGTGTTCCCCACTAAGGCACGTTCATTTTCTGTTTTGACTTATTGCACTCTTTCACATACGTTTCTACCACGTTGGCCTACACAAATTTAACACACAGAAACCCTCATTCTCTAGTTTAAATGTTTTCTATATACGTAGTCTTTAAATATATTCTTTTATTCTAGTTCCTTTTGTAAATGAATGATTATCGTTTCTTTTAAATTGTCTTATGTTACTTCGTAGAGGACCGTGTCGGCGATGTTGAGTAGAAGTAGAAGAACACACGTGAGTTAAAATGTCCTGCTAGCCGGTCGAACTACATGAGAAAGTTGGACTTTAATTAAGTCCAAAGAAGACAAAGAAAAACAAACACAAGACCGATAAATATATGTAAACAAATATATGTATTAATAACAAGAAAGGTTACAAGTTACATAGACAGTTACATGGACAGTTACATGGATAGAGAGCGTGTGGTGAATATTATGTGTGTGTGTTGTGGTGAGTGTTCGTACGTACGTGTATTGTTCTTAGCGTGTTCCCAGCATTTGGGAAACGCTGTATCAGGTGAGCGTTCACATCTGCGAGGTGGTATAAGGCCGAAGCCTGAGGAAAAAGATTTACCTCAAGGTGGCGGCCCAAAAGCCTAAGGGAAAAAAAAGGAAGAGGCGAAGGGTCAGCGAGTATTTATAGCCAGGGAAGAGAAACCCCTGGTGAAAGGGTTAAGGAGCTAAGGAGGAGCTAACTCCGACAACTCTTTTTTACCTGGACTCGCATTGAGCCCGGCATATCATTTGCGGGCTAACTATTCCAGGAGACAACTTTCAACCCAATTACTAGTAATCCATAATAATAAAATTTTTAATTTTTGACAATATAGATCATATTCACTGTTTCATTACACTATTTGCGCCATTTTGTTTTTCAATCAAATTAATTCTAACCTTTCAAAACCATTTATCTTTCTCCGTCTTTCAATTTGTGTTTTCACATCTATGCATACGTAAGGGAAATTGAGCCCCAACATGGACGACCAAACGATTTTTTCTTTTTTAAATAACTGCTATAAACATGTATTTAAGTTTCTCTTTTATGTATATTTCTTTGAAATTATAACATGTGACTAGAGTAAAGCAAGGATTTTGTTGTGTCGCGGTATTTGCGATTTCGTAAGTACAATTCCGTTATAATCATTAAGTTGATAGAGGAAGTGTGGATCAGCTTCGTAGATAGTTTTAGAGGAACCTCATTTGACTTGAAACATTGTAACTTAGAATTTTCGTGTCGGAAAGAAATCGGTGACAATATTAATTTGTATTTCAATGAGTAAGCTTCGTTGTATCTCGGTTGGTGAATGCTGGTCTGAATGTGGTCATTGTTGTGAAGAGTTACAATGACAGCCACCATCGGTAACTTGACGCCATTTGTTTGTTGGAGTTAGTCGCAGACGCTATATATTAAAAAAAAATGAAACACTTCACGATTTTAATGATACACATAAAATTACGTCTTGTCTTCTGTGGGTTGGGGCGAATACGTACGTTATAAAAAACATCTGCTAAGACTGATAATTTTTTTATGGGATAGTGGCATACATATATATATGTACTGATTTTGCCCAAGAAAAAAAAGAGAATAATTGGAGAGGGTACTACAGGTTGTAAGAAGCTAGAATATTTCGAGAGATCTGCCCGGAGATAAAGGAGTTTATCCTCGTTGCTAGATATACAGAATACAAAAAAACTAAATGACGATCAGTGGCTGCTAGACTTGGCATTTTAACTGATCTAACCAACATATTGAATGTGCTTAATTTAGAGCTGCAAGGAAAAGACAAAACCGGGGTCAAAATGATCAGCCCAGTTAATGCTTTCAAATGAAAAATGAAACATCTGTCCTCAAAGCTGCAGCGCAATGATTTGGGAAACTTTCAAAATCTCGCGTCAAAGCTTGCGATACAATAGAAGCAATGTGCGCAACTTGACCGTGAGCGCCACACACAGCAGATTGACAATTGTCTGTCAAAGGTTTGACAGACACTTTCAAGACTTTGCTTTATTCGAGTCAGTTGCTACATTTATGTGCAACCCATTCCAGGAAGATGTCAAAGTTGATTCACTTGCATCAATAATTGCAACGTTGTTTCATCTGAACTCTTCTGGGGTGGAAGATGAAACTTTAACGCTACAGGCTGACATTGAGCTGACGAATTGTTCTGGAACTTTCTCAATGAAGAAAACTGCACTAACCTAAAGAAATGTGCTACCTTCTTGGCTGCATTATTTGGCTCAACTTATGTGAGTCAGCCTTTTCCCACGTGAAGATGAAGTCCAAATACTGTTCCGCCATGATTGATGAACATTTGGAAGTCTGTTTGAGGGTGGCCATCAGCAGCTACTATCTGGACTCTGCAACTCTGGCTGTTTCATTACAGTGAAAGTCATCAGAGTAAGGTAATGTCAAAAAATGTACAGAATTGTATTGTGTCATACAGTTTCATGTTGTTATGCAAGGTACAGCAACATATAGTGTAAACATAATATATACTTAGTGTATAGCATTTTTATTGTATGTAGATCATTTTGACTTGGTCATTTAAAGAATACCTCGCAAGTCAAAAAACTGTGGGAACCACTGTCTAGCATTACGTTCACAGCGTTCATCTCCAATTGTTTCAATAAAATCCACACACGCATCTTTTCCAAAAATTTGGTAAAACTTTCAAGTTAACATCTTGAAATGTCAGGTATCTTACCTTATTGTTTTACTTGGCCTTCAGGTTTAAAAATGTGTTGAATGTAACTCTTAATCAGACTTTGGTTGCTTGTAGTGAACTCGAGTAAAATATATGCAGTACATTCTTGGTATTGCGTTAGCTTATGTCGCGGTATGTAGCTTGAAATTAGTGGCTGTAGAGTCATTTACTGCTATCGCTTGTGTCTAGTCAGATATCAGTGCGTCTGTTTCTAGCGTGAAACCATCTAAAATAGTGGTATGGTGAGTCATCACTTCCCTTGGCGCTTATTTCTGATAAACCTCGTGGTTTACAGTGACACATGCTATCAAAATGGTTGGGTTTGTGGCATTCTGATATTGGGATGCTAGGTTTTTCAATTTTCCTCTTTTTTTTTATCATTTTGTTTTTGAGTCCTCAGTTCCGCATTAGGTTTCTTCATTTATATTTTTAATTTGATTCGCGCTGACTTCAATCGCCTGGCATTTGTCTATTGTTTTTGTTTAACATTAAGTCTGAGTCTCGAAGCAGTAATTCACGAGTATCTTTAAGATGCTACATACGATTCTGTCTCTGCGTAATTCGTCCTGGAGCTCGCCAGATTCGTACTCCTTACACTTCGGATTTTTAAGAGATAATTTTTTTTCTGAAAATAACTGGTTTCTGCTGAAAAATATATATCTGACGAACGCTATATTTTTTCTCGACAGAATTCCAGAAATTTATTTTTAACACATTGTATTTTGTTCTTGTCAGCGTTTTGAAATTCGAATTGTTTGAAAATTTGTTGGGCTTGTAGTCCAGCCGGATGTAGGAATGTGGCTACCTGTATTCATTCATATTTTCTCTTACTCCAGTAACGAGCAAATAAAATAAATTTTTTCCCCAAACATTATCATCAGGGTTTCTTTCATAGTTGAGGTTTTTGCTGCTTCAAACAAATTTTTATTGCTTGTTTTTAATTCTGGTTGACGCACCTGAAATTATTTGAGGGTATCTACGTGCGTATCCGCTCTTAATGGCGGCACAAATCTTAAACATGGTAATACTACATTGTTTCAGGGTTAGTTTGTTGCGGGTTGTAACTGAGTGAAAATGTATCAGAAGGTAATTTATGTAAGGCAAAAATTATGCGTGCTTATTATGCATTATCCCACAACACGTAGATCAAATAAAGAATATAAGGACAATTTACATTGCAAGAAATTACTAAAAACACAGTGGTTAGAGATCAAATAATAAAGACATTTTTATATATACAATAGATATACATGCAAGAATAACAGAATGTTTGTTGATTGTGGCAATTGAGACAAGGTTATGAAGAATGTTCATGCAGAAATTTGGTCATTAAAAGTTAATGGTTTTGATTTGTTAGTGAAATTTAAAATAATTTGGTTTCTGCAAGGGAAAATCTCAAATGTGTTCGTTCAAATATTACTGTGTATGCGTGTGTTACTTGTTAGTTAGAATTTAAGTTGTGAAGAGTTGTTTGCCTTTAGCTGTTTGGCCTTTAACTGCTTGGCTAAATTGATGAATTGTACAATTACTGTTTGTGTAGTGAAAACGTTCACTTTTTAAGTCAATAGTAATTTGATTACTACGCGGACAGTGGTCGATTGAGTGCTGTGTTGAGTTTGTTGGGAATTTTGAAGTGATGTTGAGTCAGTGAATTGACACACGTGGAGTTTAGTAGCATCTCACGAAACTCGATGACTGACTGACTTGAATTGAGTCATGCGGTTGTTTATATAGACTTTGGTGTTTAAAAATCGGCTCCAGGGAATTTCGGCGGGGAAAAGGATCTGTTTCGACTTTGCTACAGTTTAATGTTTCTTAACCAATAGAAGATTGAATTTACTGAAACGATGTTAAGGCGTTTTTATTTTTTGGGGTTTTTTTTTTAGGAAAGAATACATCTTTCCAAAAGGGGTGGAAGGCTAATGTGGAAGATTCCACAAGTTGTTGAATTGTTTTTATTTTTTCTTCTGTGATTTGTGTCTGGATTACGTTATTCTATTTTGTATCATAATGTCGTGCCATGCTGGGCAACTGTGAGTAACGATGAATAACGAGA